AAACAATTACAATATATATTTTTGAAAGCATTCTTACTTTACAGAATTTTTTCACACCTGCTTAAAACTTTTGCACAGTACTATATTTTCATACACACTTAGCATTAATAAAATAAAAAGAGAAGCAATCAACAGGAAAACTAATAATCAGTTGCTAATACCTGCTAATATAAAACTGTTTTTAACAGTTCTGCAAAAAGCCAGTAAGAATTGTACCTAGCAGAACAATCCACCAGTTACCTGGTATCCATCACATGCCTAGGATGAGCCACACATAGGCCTCTTACCCTTGCAGAAGTCAGGAATGGCAATAATGCACAACTTGACTAGAAAGGACTAATTACACTGTTCCTCAACTTCACATTATGTGCCATCTGTTCCAAAGTGAACACTAGGTCTAATGAGCGATCCACTCATGAGTCAGGGCTGAGTGAAGGTGAGATAAAAGAGTAATGGAAGGAGAGCTCTGGAACCTGAAATTGCCTCCATGTCACTAGATTTTCTTTTGCCTCAATTTATTTCCTTTTCCTTCTTTTTTCTCATGGTGTCCACTTTCATGCATCCACCCCACTCAAATCCACTTCTCAGACAGAATTTCTTTCTGCTACAATTTATTTGATAAGAAATAATTCAAAACTTCATAAACAATTTGTAAAGCAGCCAAAAGTCTTTCTTGCACTGGATTAACTCGGTCTAGCTTGTTTTAGTTTTTAAACAGATTGACATTTTAATGTCCTTTATATTATGATAAATCCTGCACCAGATCATATAGGGAAAATACAGACTGCTTTCACAAGGCTGTACAAGGAAAGGAACATTACAGTATGAATATTAGCAATGTGTGTATGTACATGCACTTCAAGAGGCATTTCTAAAGTTCCTTCCATTACATTCTTTCATGTCTTCTCTTTACCAGGTTTCCTTCAGTCATTGTTAGCTTGCTGATTGGATAGTAAACTGAACATATGAAGTAGAAAACCATATCAAATTAAGCCAAGTGTTTTTATTTCAAAACAACAGTATTTATAACTCTGTTCCCAGACTGTCTACATAGAGAAAAGAAGTTACATCCACCAACTCAGAAAATACAATTAACCCCTTTTCTTGTTTTTAAATTAAAACTAGAAGGGAAATATTATAAAAAGTTCTTAAATAATTACAACATATTCCATTGTCACTTGCCTATCAACTTTGAAAATACCACTTTACTAACAATAACAAACCCTCCTATTATTGCCAGCCCTAACTTGAAACCATCAATAACTGTCTCCCAAGTCCTCTTCGTGTGCCAAAGAATGGTTAAGTATAAATTGTCACACTAGATATCTGAAGGAGGCACAAGTCATGGATCTTTTAAACTGTTTTTGCCTATACTAAAGCTTAGTGAAATGGAATATTTCTCTCTCCATCTTCCCAGACTGGGAAAACCTTCGCCATATTACATACTAGGCTTAGAAACCAGCAGAAGTACTTTTATATCCCTAAGTTTTTAATACACTATTCTTCACCTCAAATTTATGAAGTACCAGCTATGTATACCAACTTGCTGTTCCTGGTTATACGCAGCAAGGGCCAGTAACACTTTATGCTGTCCTGCCTGTGCTGAAAACCTCAGGAGGCAGCACATACATCAGTGGAACACATGCACCTAAATTGAAATATAATTTATCTCGGCATATTGGAAAACAAAAACAAAACAATACCCCTATGTTTGAGAAATGTATAAGCTAATGAGCATTTCAGCTTTTGTTGTCCCTTCCACAAGCTAACCTGAATTTAATAATTCAAGCATATAAAAGCAGATTGTTTTGCTGTCCATCTTTAAATTTTGAATAATGTTACTAAAACAGAGAAACTTATGCAAGCTCAGAACCCTTTGAGTATGTCTAGACATACACAGGATAAGTATTAAATAATACAACAGATGAGTATCATAATAAAAAAAACAATTGCAGGAAAAGCGCCACTGATAAAAAGTTATTACAATGTGCCTGAACTGGCCATATGAAAAGCCATTCAAACTAAACCTGAACTACTATTTCAAATGCCTTGAATTCAGTCAGACACACACCCATCTGGTCTTTCATATTTCTCATGCTTCGTTTGTGACTCACTATAATTTAGCATTTTTCTATCCCACTCTTCATTTTTGCTGTTTCAACAGAATAGAAAATTTCATACAGAGATATGGAAGATATTAGATCTAACAAGAGGGAAATTTTCTCCAATTTTTCTTAAAAGAATGCACATTTTTCATTGTTACCTATTGTCAGGACTTCCTATTTTAAACTATTCAGAGAAGAGAAAAATAAAATGTCTTTGATGGCATCTCCTACAGCCACATTAGATAGTGTGGAATCTATGTCAGCAGCAAAATGATCCAAGTCGTCTCAAGACTTTGACAAGATATCTGCAACTCATCTCGCATACAATTGGCAGGTACAATAAATATATGTGAGCCATAAGAATGGTTTCTTCTTCCTCGGCCTGTTATTCTGCCTCTGTCAAATATTTCTCTTCTCCTCCTACCTAAATTTCTTTAGTTCACTGCAGTCCTTCCCCATACTGTGCCCTGCCTCCAGCACAGCTTTTTCCCTGGTGCTTTTACAGCTCTGACAGCTTGTGGCCCTTCCCTTCCACTCCCCTCCCCTCCCAAACACACCATGGTAGAGTTAAGATGGTGTGGCTAGAAACCAGAGCTGCACTTTGAAACAAATCCAATGCAAGGGGAGTTTTAAAAAATATTGTAAACAGAACAAGATAGGTGCATTTGAAGCAGCAGAAGAGGTGTATAAGAACATACCCGTGCTTATGGGAACAGCATTGCTGACTTCTGAGCTAAAGAAAGAACTATTTTTAAAGGGAACCTCATATGTGGCAATGAGACAGATTCCAAAAATATCCAGGAGTTTTAAACTGTATCACTCAATCCTGAAGTAACCATTAGCATCAAAATCATGTAATACAGTGCAAATTTCTGCACTAAAATCATAGCAAACTGTCTTAGAACTTTCTGAATATTGTCAATTTTCCTGAAGTATCTCCAAAAATTCTTAAAGTAGCAACAAAAGGTCATCTTCTGAAAGTTAGTAGTATTAGAACAAATGCCAACACTTAGCTTTAAGGCATTTCCAAGGACACAAAATTAGAATGGGATGTTACTGTTCTTTAAACTGCTTCATCTCCACTCTAGTTCATACAATTCCCTGTGCCCAAAGCTGAATTTTTCTACTGATACATTTAAGTCGCCATACTACCCAGCCACTTGTCAATTCCGTGCTAATTATGCAAACAACATTTACTCTTAAATCTAACAGTTTTATTAAAAGGAATTCTACTGTAAAATGGGGAGACTGATAAAGAGTGGAAAATGTTCAACATGATAGTTGGTAAGTAAGTTAAAGTTCTTTCAAAATACAAAGACTACTTTTTAAGATTCTAGGTTTTTTATTTTTTTTTCCCTTTGGAAATACGTAAAAACAAATAGCAGCAAACTGCTTCTACGTAATGCCTTCTTACCAGTTTCATGGAGCAGAATCAACAGGAATGTATGTGTTGATGCCATATCCCACACATGCTACCCTACTTTTATCAATATCCCAGAGGCCACCTGCCTTTGTGGGCCAACATTTGAGTCTTATTTGCTTAAGAAAACTAGGAAGAAAAAAGGGTAGAAGAAAGTAAGATGGATTATGAGTAGTTGGAAATACCAATTAAATGATGATTACTTTACTGCTATCTCCTGAGGAAAGTTTAAATTCAGCTTTTCTGCTGGACAAATGTCACTAACGAAATCACAAATGAAATTACTACCTATAGTTGCTATGAACAAACATACATTTGAAAGTGGGTCTCACCACCTGGAAACCAAAGAAAGAGCTCTACTCTTTCTTTCCTGAGTCAAGCCTATCAAAGTATAATTTGTTCCAGATGAGGGTGGATAGGAACAGAAGATCTCCTTATGAGAGCCATCTAAAAGTTGATTAAAAATATTCCCAGGCAGAACCAAGTCCATTTCATGCTTTCTGGTCAACTGAAATAAATCTGTGAGACAGCGGTTAAAAATTAGTAAAATACACCATTCATTATAAATGGAATGTTGAATATATGGAACAAGCCATCTAATGCTTCTCTGCATTAATTAGTATCAATATGTTTTAATTGTTACAAGCTTTGTTGATTAATAGCAGCACAATAATACCAATATAGACAGAGACAAGCATTTAGTACAGGATTTCAAAAAGTTCTTACCAACTTCTGCAGGGAGTTGTTTGATTTTGTTCTCCCGTATGCTTAGCATGGTGAGATTCGACAAATTTCTGATATCCTTTTCCACTGAAGTGATACGATTAAAGCGCAAATAAAGTGTAGTAAGGGAAGTTAGCCTATACACCACAGGAGGAATCTCTCTCAATTTGTTATGCCGTAGATCAACCATGCGAAGCTGTTTCAAGTTACCAAGAGAGTCAGGAAGGCTGGTGAGTGAGTTCTCACTTAAGGCCAAAGTTTCCAGATTCACGAGACAGCCCACCTCAGCAGGTAGTGACTGTAACTTGTTTCCATATAAATAAAGTTCCGTCAACTGGGTTAACTCTTTGATAGATGATGGGAGCAGATGTATAGACCTCTTAGCCAAGTCCAAACGTACTGAATTTTCTTCCCGACATTTGTTTAGCTCTTTGATCACCTCAGCATTACTGGATTTTTTGCGGGCACCCGGAGCTGGGTTAGGCCGTTTTATTGTGTTGTCTACTGAAAAAGCCACACCCGGCTGTGCACTACTGGAGTCCTTCTTCCCATCTTTGGCTTCCTTCCCTTTGGTCTTAGACTCTCTATCTTTACTTTCTTTCCCAAATCCACCAGAGGCCTTGGCCTCTTTTTCCCTTTCTTTTGCTGAAGACACTTTGGGATCCTTCTCCTTACAATCTTTTTCTTTTCCAAGACTACTACTCATTGTTCCTCAGTTTAATCAATACCAGTTGAAATCCAACTTGAATTTTAGTTAACAAAGTCCAAAAAAGCAAGTTTTAAGATGATTCATTCACTGCTGATATATAAGGAGTTTTAAAAGACAAAAGTGTGGGCTAGAAGTAACAAGTGCGATGACATAGTAGCTATCTGCTACATGTTGGATCCAGACATTCAATATCAGAAAACTCAGCTATTGGTGCTTAGATAATCAAAAAATCTTCATTAGAAGCTCTGTAACATAATGAGAGAGAAAAGAAGCAGATATTAATGCACAGATGCCTCTCTAGACATGTTGGTTTGCTCTGTAAAAAAAGATGTAAAATCACAGTTCATAACAACTTTTTCTTCAACTGTTTATAAGGAATAAAAGATACATAATATTTCCCCAAATTGCACTAATATAAGTTAGAATTGGTATTTTAATTTCATGAAAACCCAAAGATCTTAAAATGAGTAATCACCTAACAAGATATTTCAATGAGGCTCCCTGCCTTGCTTTAAACTGTTTTCTTCTCACTTGATAGAATGCTGTAATACTCTGGAATGTAGCTATACAACAATCACTTTAAAGATAAGTTGAAAATCAGATTTGAATGAAAAGCAGTTTTGGAATCCACAATAACTTTTGCAATTAAAAAAAAAGCATGGAGAAATTATAAAGCACCCAGAAGCTGGAAAAAAAAAAGTTAAATATATTTCTTGATAACCCATTGTTGCCTAATTCCACTTAGATTTCATCCAGCTTTGCACTAAAAAAATGGAGTTTTATCCAACCCTTCCTTTCTTGCCTCCTGTCCCACTGTCCATGCAGTTTTCCTATACTGTCTACAGGGTTGGAGCACCTACTGAGCATATTTATCTCCAAATATACTGAGATAGGGGGAGTCTTCCAAAAACAAGCAGAGTGATTTTATAATACTCACTTAAATCTCAATTTCCAGTATTCAATCTTACTACAACTCACAGAGAACTGAATATATTGTAATTCCTACTTAAAAGGGATTATAAAACCTTTTGCCACTTTCCCCACAAAGATGCTGGTATTGAAATACGTTTATTTATCATTTATTTATTTATCTTTCACAATCCAGAGAGACTCTGGACAATGTGCAACAAAGTCAAAAGAAGAACAAGGTACTAAAAATCAAATATAACTAATGAAAAACAACAGAAATCTAATATATCATAGGCATTTTCAATTAAACTAATCTAGGTGCCAAATGCCTGCTGGAACTACATTGTTTTGGCTTATTTCCCAAATGCCTGTAGAGTATGGGCTCTTCATGCTTGCAGGTGAAGAATGTTCCATAAAACAAGGACTCCACGGATAAGGCCTGTTGCCTGGCCCTATGAACCTTGCAAGGGTACTGAAATACTTCTAATATATGTGGATAGCCACTGCTGAAAACAGAATCTGAAAAATACTCTTTATTTGATCCTGCAGAGCATTTTTTTTTCCTATTCAGTAACAACTTTTTAGAAAATATAGCTACACAATGGAACTTGAGGATGCTATCTAATTTGTAGAAAACAACAGATTTGCTAGACCCAGGCTCAAATTATCCTACCTAGGACACATTATGCAAAACCTAACTCTGTGGAGAAGGCCTTAATGCTGAGAAAGGTGGAAGGAAAGAGAAGAGGATGGCCAGCAGCAAGGTTACAGTAGCAATGAGTGCACTGTTGGAAGAGTTGAAGGACCAGGTTAGGGACAGATCATCATGGAGAAGATCTATGTGGTCACTAAGAGTCAACGATTTGATGGCACTCAATCATCAATCAAATAGAAACCAGATGCAGAATGTTCCATTGCATAATTATCATCCATTCTGTTATTAAATCAGAAATAATTATAGTATCTTCTCTTAGAAAAAAAAAGAAAAAGAAAGAAATGAGATGGGAATACAGAAATAAGAACATACAGAAGTGCCAAATAGAAACATAAAAACAGAATATATCCCACTAGCCTTTTCTTTAAGATTATGGAATTATAAATGAATGTTCGCAAGATAGCCTCTCCAAAAACTGCACTGACCATAATTATTTTTCAAAGAAATGTGAGTGACTGAGATTTGCATATGACAGAGTTACCCAGACCTTTTTTTTAATAAACACTAAAGTGAAATGAGAAAAGGAATCTGCCAACCCTAATGAGTGATTTCTTGTCAGAATAGGAATACAGTATGTACTAGATATAATTTTATGGGGCTATAAATATTAATGAAGTTTCTTTTATGAAATTTTTATGAAATTTAGATACTGCACAAAAATGACAAGCTTATCCTACTTAGCAAAGCAATTAAACTTAAAATGGTACATTTCTTGTTGAAAATATTTTAATTCAAATATACATTTCAGCAAATAATTTACCCCAAAGAGGCATGGCAGGAGAATAACAAATTATTTTTCTATATTTCAAATCACAAGCAAGGATAAAGGTTCTTATATATATGATAAATAGCACTGGATATAATATTTAGTAAGGTCAATACCCAAGCAATGGAAAACAGATGACAGACTATGTATTCAAAACTATGTAGCAATTAATCTTGCTTGCTTAAAGCAGTATCAGCAAGGGGTGAACAGAAGACCCAGCATTCAATTATATGATCATCTATGTCTCCAGAAGAGGTTCTTTTGTGGGCTATTATAGAATTGCTTCAGATATCATAGTCTTGTGTTCATCTCAACGTTTTGTTGGGATAGGTGAAACTGTTAACATAGCATCCCTCTCCCACAATATAAGGAACACCCAATATACTCCAAATGAATAAGGAATTATACATATAAACCCAGTTTGGGACACCGTAAATGATCTGTTTAAGTCCTCAGGAAAAGTACCTTCTGTGAAATGTCATAGCATTGCATTTATCCCAATGCTTCACTGAGGCACAAGAAATACCAACTGTAGTAGCCACATTCTGATGGTATCCAATATAAGTAGGAATGAATAAACAACTGAAAGTAATACATTTTCAATCCACAATAAACTATGGAATATCCATAAATCCACAAAAAAGTTTTCTCAACAAACCCACAATGCTTTTTCTCAAATATGTTCTATCATGACAGTAATTGTTGAAGTGCCAGCCACTTTCTGATATACAATTCTCAGGCAAATAGTCTCCATTGTGAACAGAAATGAATATACAGTAGAAATGGAAGTGTACACTCTACCATGGATATCCTAAACCACACATACAGGGTTCTAGGTTCCTGTTATAATGCTGCACATGACCCAATTTTTCATCTTGGCACAGGACACTGTTAAGCATGCAATCCCATGCTCACTATTTTTGTTCTTTATTCCCTGATAAGCAAAAACTTTTCGGGGGTAGCCAGGTGACAACACTTAGATGATTTTGGCTGCCCTCAAGGTACTAAACAGATTAATCAGAACTGATTAATACTTGGAAGATAGACAATTGGGAAATATTAGGGCTATGAGCTAGACTGGGTTAAAAAAAAAAATCCTGGAAATAAGCAATTGCAAACTACTTGTATATTGTTGCTAAGAAAGCTATACAGATGTGCCAATGAAATCATATTCAACTTGAAGGGGATTTGACTTTATTTTTAAAATCTAGAGACACAAAACAGTATTTCTAGAAGGTGTATTACTAATAGAAACATTTAGACATTATCAATGTAACACACACCCATAGCAAATCCAGTGTTTTTAGCCTAAAAATGTAAGATTTTTCCTGGTACCTTTTCCCTAGATAGAATATAACAAGTTATGTTCATCTTCAATAACCTGTTCAGGTCATTAAATAAGCAATATACAACTGATTAACACACACCACACAAGATACTACATTTCAAATTCTGTTTTTGAATTTGCAATTACCAACTTAACCTGAATATAAGCAAATATGCCTGCAGGTTTTAGTGAATGTGTCACAGAAGGAAGTATTTAGGTCTGGGTCCTAAAAAATGTATTTTTACTTTAGACTTTAGGAAATAGTCTGTGAAATATTCAGAGAGCAATCCTTTTATTCTGCATTACCTCATTTCTAGCAATTGGAAACAGTTTGTACACCATCCCATGTGGTTTCTCAGCACGTACAATTTTGAGTTCTTTATCACTGTTGTCATGGTAATCTGTGCTGCATTACAATTTTGCATAATCTGTTAAATCTTGAAAGCCATAAATTGCTGTGAGTGATGGTCTTATCTCCCATCTGATAACACCCACATTAGAAAAATGCTAGCACTAGTGACATATTTGTTGATAGAAGGGAGTACATGAAAAGATTGACTGGAAGCCAAGTTGCACCAATGTAGTTTTTTTTAAAACAGAGACATATTCAAGAATATGATTAGCAAAATGAAAAACTGGCTCATACAAACAAGAAGCGACTTCTTCCTTACCATGCATTTCTAGATTTCTGGATATAGCAAAATTAATTTCATTTTTCTCTGTCTATAGCTTCTTCCAACTGTTTCAAGAAGACCCCCAAGTCATGGACTTGCTGTTTCAAGGGATAGTATTACCTACCCAGAGACACCATTGGAGCCACCAGGAAACCCCAATGGAGAAACAGTAACACTCTCTTGCTAGGGTTCAGTTTTAGCTTGTTCTCTCCAAACCATTCTCACAGCCTCCACGCACCAGGACAAAGCCGCAACAGCATTTGTTGGGCCCAGAATAGTAATTTATCAGCAGCATACTGATGGAACCAAACCGAAATGACCTTTCCCAGCGGCTTCATGTAGATATTAAACAGGAGGAATAGAGGACTGACTCCTCTGGCACCCAACAAGGAAGCAGCTTCCAAGCCAACCTCTCCTTTCCTACCGCCATTGATTGGAACTTTCCACTGAGGAAGGAGCAGAATCACTGCAGAAGGTGCTTTTAATCTCCAACTCCCCAAGTTGGTCTGAAAGGATACCATAATCGATGCTTTTAAAGGCCGCTAAGAGATCTAAAAGAAACAGGATAGGTGCACTGCTCTCATCCAAGTCATGACAAAGGTTATCCACTAGTGTAACCAAAGCTGTTTCCAACCCATGCCTATGCCTGAACCCTAACTGATAAAGATCCAAACAATCCACTTCTTCCAGGATGTTCTGTGGTCAGTGTCTCACATCTCTCTCAAACTTCCTTAGAAAAGGACAGTTGAAGACTGGGCAGTAGTTGTCTAAAGCCTTGGATCCAGGGAGGGCCTATCAATGAAGAATTGACCACAGCCTTCTTTAAGGCTGCTGTTAGTGTCCCCTCACAATCT